TTGGCTTAAATTATTTAAGTGTAATAATGGAGCAAACGGTGCATACTAAGTGTATATTATGCTTTTGTCAGATGCTCAGAGGAAGGTCTGGACAAACTTCCACCAGAACTGACAAAATCATGTTTTGAAGATCGAGAGGTAGTTTTTCTTCCCCATTTTTGACGCTAATCCGTTCCATTCAGGGACGTTTGAACACAAGGCTATTTGGGCTGCAGTGGTGAATAACACGACTCGGATGTCCACGTCTTTCTGTCATGCATGCAGTTGCATCGACCACTTTCACACTTCTATTGACTCTTTTAATGAATACTATAACACCTCACCCACAGATTCGGGTATATGGAGAGTCTGCAAGCGCAAGTCACATGCTTCCTATTTTGCTGTGCACGGCCAAAAAGTAAAATACCCATAGCAACCAAAGTAATATATCCCTAGCAAGACGAGTCTCCCTTTACAGAGATCTGCATTTGTAATGTTGATGCTATATATAGCATGACCTCCGATTGTGTCTAACATGTTGTTCATCAAAATTGCAGTTGAGGGTCCCACGAGTCAAGTGAACGGCTTTATTTAATTACTGGCGCTTCACTGCAAAAAGCAAATTAAAAGCTGATCCCTGGCCGCTCTTTTCTAAAGTAATAGCCGGCCTTTGAATAGTTTCAACTTGTATTGCAGTGCCTCGGCTTAGTTGCTGAGAAGGTTTATCGGCTCTCCTGTGGCTTTACCATGACATACTGAGCCAAGGTTCCATGTTTTTGGCCTTCGTCAATAATCGATGCTATATTACTAGATAAATTAGTAAAATTAAGTCCACAACTACCTTGAATCTAACGATGGAGACCAGTAGACAAGCTGCAGTAGGCAGCAGTCACAAAATATCCTCACATAAATTCAGTCAAGCCAAAAAAAGGTTTGAGAGCACACATCAAAATTAATCAAAATTAAAGTTTTTCTCCTCAAGTTTTCTCTTCAATTTCACTCCAATTTTTGTGGCTTAACCAATGAAGTTTGTAGATGTTCTCATCCAAAGATGATTGTGATATCATTTCTAAAAATAGTCTTGGAACCCGTCGCCATTTTGAAATTGAAACTCCAGTGCAAAATAGAGCAGTTTAGGGACCATTTTGCCACACTTTTCAGAATATAAGCCTTCCAGCCTTCCAAGCTTTCCAGCCAACGGGCTACAATTAAAATGCTCTAATGACCCCCAAGATGGACGGACAGAGAGTGCAACTTTCCTAGTAACGCCGCTCTTTTGGTAGGAACTGCACTTCCCTAGTTCATAAACAACTATGAAATGCACGCTTTATGATCGCATCGCTACCACAAAAAAACGAACATTCTCAACCAAGGTGGCTCTTTTCAACCGAAGAGAGGGTACTTCTGTACTTGTACTTGCTGATATTGTTTCTGCATGTGCACAATTTGTCGTTGAGCACAGACGCGCTTTTGGCCTTATCTCAAGACGCCAAAGTGGTATAAAAGGGGGACGGGGAGGTTTGGTTCTGAAATGGTAGGAGGACGGCATCTCCAATCGTTGAATGTAAGAATGAAGTAGAAATTAACTTCAAATCTAGTGTAATGAAGTCAATTCGTGAAGATGGGGGTTTGAAGTGATGTGGTTTTATTCTTCTCATTATAGTTCTGCTTGAATAATCCATTTTGCCGTAATTATTTCCTTCCATAGGTGTTCTTAAGTTTTGTACCGTCATTTTTATACCGCACTTTTCCCGACCGTTTTCCAGGTTCACTTCCGCCATCGTATGATTTGATTTGTTTACAGGAACCACTCGTTGAGGAAACGGTTCAGTGCTCATTAGGTCGAACGGGGACAAGGCCACACATATTGTCACTCCACTGCGCTATGGAGCGTCGTTTTCTGCATGCGTAGAAATTCTCGCTGTTGTATTTCTTCCCTCTTGCAATCTACCCTGATGTACAATGATAACCAACTTTAGGCTGGTTAATTTACATACTCGTGACTATACAGAACCGGTCTTGTGACTGAGTGAAGACGACTCACGTGGACCTGACTGTTTCCTGTTCACACCTCACTAGAGCTGGCATGACAGTGTAGGCGAGCCTCCTGATGTGGATATTAGAACAGTGCAGGAGAGACCAGACTGACAGCAACACAAGCTTTGGCAGTCCTCCGATTTATATCATCAGCTGCGTTTCTCCGTCGATTTGTTACAATGAAGGCAATAGTGCTTGCTGTAGTGTGTGTTGCTGTGTGCTTCAGCATCCAGACAGGCGCACTGTCACCGTATGGTAATGTCTGTCCGTTTCATCTCCGTATGATGCGAACTAAACGAAGAGCAACTGGGCGGGCGGTGGTTTTTGTTTCGTTTTGTTTCGGTTGAGTAAGAGCTAAAAGAATGCTCACCTGTAATTTTTCACTATGAAACAAGGAACTACGAAAATTCGGCGACTGGAGGAAACGGAATCTTTCCTCTTAGTTCTCAAAGAAAGTCGAAGAGAACAAGCCCGAAAGCCCTTCAATTACATTGCACACTTGTATTGGGAGTATTCGGATCCGACGGACAAAAATTCACAGGCAGCAACGTATTCAGTCAGAGGGGCAAATGAAAGAGCAAATGCGGCTCCAGGCTGATTCATCATGATTTGGGGGGAGAAATAGGAATCAAAAGCGTCATTCACGGTGCCAAAATCCTTTGCTTTTATTTGCTGGTGTTGGTTTCTTAGGGCTTTGGTGCTAATATTTGATAAATAAATATACCGAGTATTTTCTTTCCTACTCTTGCGTTAAGTAGTCTTGGTTTAAAAGAAAGCCCGGGGAGCGAACTGCCCCCTACACCCATCCCCAAGCTGGATACACCACTGCCCACATAGCCATCTTTTATACCTACATGGCCTCTTTGTCAGTAGGGTTTAGCTTCTTCCTTTTCCAAGACATGCATCCAGTTCATATACTTGAAGACTCAGGCACATTGAAATGAGAAGCAGTTACAGTTTTAGAAGCGGGAGGAAAACCCAGGGGAATATTCTGGGTAAAATCCACCTGGAATCAAGTAGGGACTGAAAACCAATCCACATGCATGTGGACCGAGTCAGGAATCGAACCCGGACCGCAGAGGTAAAAGGCGAGGGAAGAACCACTACGCCAACCCAATTCCCCTTAACCCGCTTCATGATTTGTAGAGAAGTGTGTCCCTCTTCGTTATAGGCCCGAGGATGTTGGAGCTTCACAAGAGACGACTGTGGAACAGTGTCGATGTTGCTGATCTTCACAAGTATAACCTCGACAATGACCCTCAGGCCCGTCATGGGTACCTGACTCAGCCCATGGACCACTTTGACCCTCTGGTCGACAAGCACTTCAACCAGCTTTACTGGATCGTTGACAAATACTGGAAGTCACCCAGCCATCCTGTCTTCTTGTACGAAGGGGAGGAAGCACCCTTGTCACTGGCGGAGGTTGCAAATGGTAGGATATCAGCAAACAACAATTATTAGACCACGAGAAAAAAAATCATCCAACATCCTCTTAAACAGCGGTCGCAATGTAAGGTCACATTTGGGTCACTTTTCCATGGCTTTTTAACAATTCACATAAAATGCAACCGCTGGATAATAAAAACGCAGCTGTTATAAAAGAAAAGTCATAATGACATGAACCATTTTTACAGGTCACCACGCTGAGATGGCTAAAGCCCACGGCGCCCTTATCCTTGGCCTTGAGCACCGTTTCTATGGTAACAGCACCACTAAGGAAGGACTGTTACTGAGCGAATTACAGTATCTGTCAAGCCAGCAACAGTAAGTAAAGCTGATTATAATACTTGACTATATTGGTGAAGGTAAGCCTAAATGTTGACTTCCCCAGGTCTAGCAGTGAAGCCTGACAGGGAGAGATATAAAGAGAGATGTTGGGAGCCGGTTTTCTCCTTTTAATTTCATGTTGGCGATATACCAAATCCCAAATACATCAATATCATGCATACATAATGAAATTTGCTACCAATATTAATGAAAAGGGGAGTGTCATTAAGTTCGATAATTGTACATGACAATTGTATTTGATAATTGTTCTGAATTATTACCAACATGTAGAGAGGAAGAAGCACTGTGCTTTTGGATTTCCTAATTACACAAACAATGATTCAGACTGGACAAGAACCACAAGAAAGAGACATGAGACAATGCAATATGATGCACTGGCTGGCAGGATAAGCAACAGTAAGGCAGATATGCTATCAGTTAAGACCAGAACTTTTAATTGAAGACTGGAAGTAGATTGACATGATTACATGATCTGGTTTTCATTATACAAATTGATAAGGTAGGTTTTTTAGTTTTCAGTCATTGGAATTGCCCGGTTAAACACCATTCTTGTATAGACCCAAGTTTAAATTGAAAAGGTCGTTTATTTTAAGTGCTCCATGCCCCACAAATAATGGAGTTGTGTGAGTGAGATAACCTGGTTTGGGTATTTTCGGATAACTTTCTTCTGCAAACGAAACAGCTTGTTACACTGAAAGGTCGAGCTGCCCCAGGTAAGAAACGTCTTAGCCCGGAAGGAGAGGTTCCTAAGAAATAACACAATCTTATTTTGTCCCGTGCAGACTCGCCGATTTGTCAGTGTTTCGCGTCTTCGCCGAGAAGATGTTGGGCATGTCTGGAGACAACACATGGATTGTGTTTGGAGGATCTTACGCAGGCGCATTGTCTGCTTGGTTCAGACTCAAGGTACGGTGCGCCCCCTTGAGGAAAACCACCCCTCCATTACGTTTTATTACCACTATCTTCAAGGGTGTAGGCTGGGGAGGGATGCAGACGCACCCCCCGCCCGCCAACAGAAGGGAGTTCCGCTTGAGGTGTTCATATTTCATTTTTTAAACCCAACCACAGTACGTTCAAGTACGTCGGATTTCCGATACAAGATGAGCAAAAATTAAAATGGCAAATACATGTAGGCCTACCTGGGGCATTCAGCTTTTAATGTGCGCGCTTGCCTTCCTCGTTTTAAATGCGGGAAGTTGGATTTCCGCTTTCTTGCAAATCGCACCCTCCCCGCGGCCAAACCAGCTTACACCCCTGACTCTTCCTTGTGCTCGACAGTCATAAGCCTCTGTCGTTTGCCGTAGATTATGTCGTTCGTTGATTGTCCTTTTACGTTGAACAGCTTCACCAATTCGTCAGATTGTTTCTTTTTTTTCAGTACCCGCACTTGGTGTATGGCTCTGTTGCGTCGTCTGCTCCAGTGCGCGCTCAGGCCAACTTCGAGGGGTACAATGACGTGGTAGCCGCCAGCTTTGCAGATCCGATTGTCTTTGGTTCTACACAGGTACTTACTAACAATATTTGCCGCTTGGATTGGTTTTTGACCTCAAATTCAAATATCTTAACCGGCTTTTTGAACAAAAAAATGGGGAAATTGATCCATGCGCGGTGAAAAATTGCCCAGCGTGAGATTTAATACAGAAACATATAATACATGGCCAAACCCCATGTGCTAAAATCTTCTCCCAAATGACGATTTATCAAATCGCCGTCTTGCCTTCTACAGCTGATATTTGGTTACACATGTGACTTAACGAAGGTAGACTGGATTGACTTTTACGCTCGATGTTGTTTCCTCTAATCTGAGTGCATTGCAACGCAGGATTTTTTATATGTCCTCAAAAGCCAACGGATAGGAATAACCGTACTTTACTCCTTTTTTCCTTTTAATCTCACAAATACTTTGGCAGATTTAATATGACACAAGCAGCCGTTTATATAACTACGTATACTTTCGATTATGGAGGATTAGAGGACTTTACAACCTCCTGGGCTTTGTTTGTTGTAGTGCGTGGCTAGCATCAAACAGGCCTTCGCTAAAATGGAGCAAATGTGGAAGGCTGGTCAACTCGCTCAAATCCAAAAAGATTTCAACACTTGCCAGGACTTGACGGAGCCCAACGACTTCAAGCTCTTCGCTGCCATTCTCCAAGGAGGATTCATGCGCGTGGCACAATATAATAGAGTGGAAGGCAATGCGTCAAGTATCGGCGATATGTGTCAACAGCTGATGCTTCCAGATCCCTATCAAGCTCTGGCTGATTTGTTCAGGGTAAGAGTCGAATCTGACAGTGTTCTTAGAATACACAGAAACAACCAGGAATCTTTTCCCCAGCATACCCGCTTCCAAAGAGGTAATGCATAGGAACGTCCTGTGTAAGTTTCGCGAGACAAGCTGTTCCAGCAAAGAATCACCGTTGGATTAGATAAAACCTACTCTTTTCCTTTTCAGACCAGCACTTGTGCGGATGTGTCCTTTAAAGATTTTCTCGAGCAACTGCAGGACACCACCTTTGATCCTTATTCGATGGCTCGACAGTGGTATTACCAGACCTGTACCCAGTTTGGATATTGTAAGTTTGGCATTTTCCTCTCTCTCTCTTTCCTCAGAACGCTGTCTTTAGAAGTTTTGATTCAAACAGTAGGTCATTATCTTTCAGCGATGAATGAATCACATTCCACATGATCTTCTCTTGATTATTATAGGTGAGAAATATGAAGCATTAACGAATTGAAATCAAGAAAAATATTTTAACTGAACACTGTGACCCCAAGCGATGTAATGCGCGCACGTTTGCTTCGTGTTTTGTTGGTGAAATCCACTATTGTAAACAAGGGACTACTGTTTTCACGTTTTCATCCGTCGAAATGTTACATGGCATGTGATATGTATCATTCCGTAATATGATAAAGAAAAATTAATGCTGTTGACACAAGGACTGTTTGCTTTCAATCGAAACCAATTTCACAAAAGAACCCGTTATAACAAAGATGTAACTGGTTCCTCTGTCTGACACGTTTTGGAAGCACTTGGAAGCATTTTTTCTTTTGAATCTTCGATCTTCATATTTTTTTTGGTGAAATTACAGATCAGACTTGTGACAACAATACGACATGTATGTTCCTGCCCCAAGTCGATTTGGACTTCTACTTCGCCTGGTGCAAGGGGGCTTACAACATCCCAGCTGCCGACGTGGTGGAACAGGTGAACTTCACGAACGCTTACTACGGAGCAGACCATCCCAGGGGATCCAGGGTGGTCTTCGTTGACGGTGAGTTGAGCTGAAACGCCAGCGTGACGCTTGTGCGCGAGTCTGATACCGTCGCAGCAATGGCTTGGCGGGCTCTATAGCGTGGGAGAAAATCAGTGAATCCGATCTCAATCCAATAGCCTTTTTGGGTTCAATTGGATCTGATATGTATCTTAAGTGATTTACTCCAAATGAAGGTAGATCAAGGTAATTTTGCTTTTTTTCGAAAGAATACTTATTTCTCCATTGAAACCATAGAGCAAGCTCTTTGTTGAAACTTAGTAATCGAAAATCCAATCTTTCTTCCATGCAAAACGATTTGACTATTTTACGTAACTTTGATAACGCTTACCATGACGAACATTTCATTGCGTCTAAAACAAAGACCAACTTCAGAAAAATAATGGCAACGTGGACGTTACGTAATCTTAAGGCATTTTCCCCTGAATGTTACAGTTGCTGAGTGCAGGGAAGAAGCCTTTATGAATTGCCAAGCTATGAGACTGTGAACTCACACGCCTTTCCTTGCTCAGTGGTCAGAGACACGGATTTGTCTTGGCCCGTTAGCAAGCAATTCCTTAGCTTCTTGCTCGGCTTCAGGCATCAATGATCCAGGATCAGATTTAGGCAAAATTCAAAAAGTGCAATGCTACCTCCGCTTTGAAACTGATGGATGTCAGCTTTTCCTGAACTACTCTCATGGACTTCGAATCCTGTTTGGGTGCTGAAATAGCAGTTATTAACGTTGTGGTAAAAGTACATATAAGTGTAGATTGATATCTTGTCAGACATCAAAGCTATGGGCGAATAAAACAAAATTGTGCAAAATATAGCAGCATTCAGCATGCGTGTAAGAGCCTGAAGTGGAAGACAGTGGTAAAAAGGCACAGTTAGTTCCTAAACAGAGGCTAGGCTGCGTCTGAATCACTTGGCTGCGGATTGAACTTACACGTGACTCAACGGGAGCTGGCCACAGCCACTACCAGAGACTCGTGCGTAATTTCCAGCTGCAGCCAAGTGATTTGGGCACAGCCTTATCACTCTTGATCTCAGAACAAAGGATGGGCATGCAGTGTAGTTACGTAAGGGAGGAAAATGTCACATGCGCAAAGCAACAACCAAAACATTTGCATAAAAACAATTATACTGAGATCAAGTACCCAACAGGAACAAGAAAGGCAAGCAACCTAAACAGCGAACGAATACTAAAACAATGCTAACGAATTGGCAGCATTGAAATAACACATTAAACGTTAACCATCATCTTTCCACCCATCTTGAATTTGCTTACATATTTTGTAGGTACCATCGATCCGTGGCACGCCCTAAGCGTCTTAAAAGATCTGCCAGAGGACCTCAAGTCCATTTTCATGAAGGGTACATCTCATTGCGAAGACATGCCACCCAGTAACCCGAACGACACCCCCGCATTGAAGGCGGGCAGACTGGTAAGAACCACTCAGTGGCTCATTCTAATACTGGGGGGGGGGGACATACTAACCTACTAATCACGAGCAAAACATGTTCCTTAAGTTAATTGTTGTAAAAACAGAAATTACACGTAATAATCTGCGACTTAATTTTGTCTGACGTGCTACCTTATTTCAACATTCTGTGGGATGACGCATTTAGGTCCAGTTTAGCAATGGCAATATAGCAAAGGTCATTGAAGATCTACAAAAAGGTGAATGGGCAACTAATCAGTGTTTAATTAGTAATGTGTTCTTGCACTGTTTTGTAGCATCACATGCACACGTGAGCTACCAATATAAAATCTTGGTAAAGGCTTTCACATTGAAAGGGGGAAAATAACGAATCCGAAAAAGAAAAATGCTGCTCTTGTTAACTGTCCTGCTGAGTAGCAGTGGGCGGCAAATAACCACAATCCTAAAAGACAATTTCCGGCCCTGGACATAAGGGAGATGAGAAGGAGGGGACTGGACACTTCATTACACACTGGGCACTCTTAATAATATTATGTGCATCTTATACAGGGCAACTTCGGCCATGAGCTCTCGTTCGGCCACCAGTCTATAACATTTTTGACATTGCGCACGCGAGATGAAGTCACACTCAAACGGCTCTGCAGTTGAACTGATGCGTGAGATTCCTTTGTCTCTCAAATTTTGACATTGGCTGCAACCCTAGTGGCGTACAGTACATGGTCAATGACATCTCGTGCAGTTATTTTCAATGACATGTGGATGGTTTTTTCCTGTATTACAACACATTATATTACCCGCTGATAACCAGCTCCATGCAGCAATCATGCCTGGTTCCACATGGTCGACAAGATAGTCCAAACCATCCATCATTCGGGAAGTATTGGTCGAGCTATATGGTTAATCCGTCCCTCGAACTTGCCTCTTCTATCACCTCGAGCACAGAACTGCACCCTTGAAAGGGGCAACGTTGGTTGGGAGTGATCATCTTGTTGGTAGCAATTGGACAGTGGCTCGTGCATTTCCTAGTCGGTCGTGAACCAGTGAAGTTCAATTCCGCCCAAAGAAGCCTTCGTTGCGAAGAAAATAGCGCCTTCTCCTGGTCCAGCTCAATTTTCTGTATTATGTTTTTTGAGCCATTCCCAGTATACACGCGAGCATCTGAAACAAAAAAGGGAAGAAAAAAATTGTTTTTTCTCCTCCCTTTCGGGTAATCTGTTGTTGCACCTTTGGATTACATGCTTGAAGAATTGATTTGTTAATCCATTTTTCTTTTGCCCTCTTCAGGCCATTGAAAAGGTGGTCAGCGACTGGCTGATGCAGGCAGCAATGGAAAAGAAACGAAAGTAAAGGCTGCCTAATCAAACAGATGACAAAATAGCGAGTTTTGTGCTAGGGTATAGAGCACCCAGAAATTGCTAGCAACAACAAATGTCCTTTTATGTTGTACTTTTATGTTCAAGGTGACTAATGCAGTTATTCATCTGCGTTTTCACGAATCTCTGTAAATATTCCTTTTGCTAGCTTTGTAGACGATGTTTTAATTAACATTTTAATCCATAGTGTTAAGTGTACAAATTTATACTGTTCTGTGGCTTTGGCCATGTTAAAACTAAAGCCCATGATGTGAGTCGATGATGGCGATCTTCAAACAAAAGAGGTCATTTCTAAGCTACCGTATTGAGCAGTACAAATTGGAGAATTCAGACCAAAGGGAAACCAGAAACTGTTATTGATTAGGCGACAGTGTCCAGTAAGGGACTTTGCTAAAGTTTATGATTTTGTATACTGAAATACTTGCTTCATTTCCACACATTTGGAGAGTACGTATAGGCACATCCTTACCCCAATTTGGAAAATGAAATTTGGGTTGGCTTTTCTTGGCTTGGCTTGGTTTGGGTTGATCAGGGTTGGTTTTGGGTTGGCATGGTGAGGATAGAGTCACGTAAATGAGTAAGTTAAGTCTGTTATTATTGGTAGTGAATATTATTGAGCAGCTCCACCTCCTCCCGTTATAAAGACAATTTTTTAAAGATGAGCTCTCAGTCCAAACTGTTACGGTCAACGAAATATGACTCTTTAATTCACAAAATGAAGAATACATCTGGGCAACGGGCAATCCAGTCCACCATAGAATCGACCTGTTGCATCCGAGAGCAAATGCCAGTGCTGCATGTTATGCAAGTGCATTTGTATGAACTGTGCATGCGTCCTTTACACACCACGTTTGTTCTTGAAATCGACCAAGAAACTTGAAATCATGCATCATTATGCAACTTCGAATCATTATTTGTCATAAGCCCGATTATCTTACACACATCTCCCATGGTTTGCTTTTAAACTGATTTTTTTTCATTGATGAGGCCATAATTATATATTTTTTCTAACACATTGTGGATACAGCACACATCAGATTGCACCGTAAGTGCATTCTCCTGCGTTTTAAGGCTCTGATTTATTAAATCTAGAGGTCCATAAACCATAGAGGAAGGACACGGAAGGAGTTTGAACTGCACGGGTGTAACATCTAGCCAAATATCGCTTTCTGGCATGCCTGGTAAGTCCATAGCCAGAGCGCAGCGAACGCTTGCTATGCACAATCTGTTTCACAACCTCGAATCCCCTTTGTACCCTGTGATCGTCGCCGCAATTTGTCGCTGGTAATCTACATCCTTAAAACTTTGTGCACTGAGGTATAGGAAATTGAATATTTATGTTTTGACGGTGCTTGCTATGATCTCATGACATCAAATTTAATGCTTGCGCAGTTGCTTGCATTACGCCGTGTGTCCTAAATCTATATGTGCAGTCATTGCCCTTGATTTTTCTGGAGCTATTTTGGGAATAACCAGCCCGGTTGTTTTATACAAGATTGTGTGTTTCGTTTGAATCGTTTTTATTATGGCATTTGTACAAGAGCGTATTTTATGAGATTTCACGATCACTCACTGTGATGAAATAGGACATTTTGTTACTTATGAACTTAGTTTTCCAATACAAGTCAACATTTTGTTGGCCAGTCTTAGCCAAATTCGTACCGAGTCTTTGAACATTGATGTTTTGGACGGAGGAGAATAAGATTACAAACTTTGCATGGATAATGGAACAATGTATCAAAATTTCAAAAGTTTATTTCCAATGGCAAAAGAAGTCTATATCGGGGAGTTTTCTCTCTCTATTTCCTGGTCACAGTAATAATTTGTACTTAACTTCAAGCACCAAACTACAAGTATGGCTAGGATAGTACTAGCCCCGCTTGTCCAGCTAGGGCCCGCTTCAAATGTCGAACTTCTGCTGTGTCTAATTCAATTAATTGCGATCGACATAAAAGCGGCAGAAGTTCGGCAGTTGCTTCAAATGCCGGTTTTCTGTTGACCTTAATGCAAAATTAAAACATGGCGGACCAAGAAAGAATGATATTGCAACATATTCTCATTGCGAGAAGACACTTTCTCTTGCAACAATCAGTACTACTCAAATTAATTGCTACAAGGAGAGTTCTAATTGCATGTTCACTTGTCCTGCTACTTCTCTTTTCCAGGGAAAATGTTACATAAAAGACCCCGGTCTTGTCGACGGTTGGTCAAGAATACGGGTTGGCTAGAATTTATGCTCAATACCAACTCTGAGAAAAGATTCAAAAGGGCATTTCGTGTTTCAAAAGGAACCTTTGAATTCATCTTGTCACACATATAACATGATTTGGAGCCAACACAGTGACAGAAATCCCCATATCTGCAAGGCACAGGTAGGAATTTGTCTTTACAGACTAGCCAGAGGTGACTACATTATACTGCTGCTGGAAATATTGATGGTCCTGTTGTCGAGAAGGGAATTGTTGACGCGGTGGGCGTGGATAGGGGGAATCTGGAACCCTGTGTGGACGTGAGAAATGTTGACTCTGAAACTGGTCAGGAAACTGTTGGAATGAGTATTGACTTTGAGGCTGGTCATATTGAGGAGGCTGTTGGCAGTATGCCTGGCTGGGCCCAGCCATGGGCATTTGCATCAGTTTTAATTCATGCTGTCTGGCTGGCTCTTTCGTTTTCTTCCCTGAAGAAATCCAGCAAATCTTTTGTTGGGTCCTTATCAACCACTTTTTGATTGCATCAACTGCCTCAGACACTTCACTTTTTCCCCCTTGATCTTTTCGCCGCTTTTCTTGCGCCGCCATCTTGTTTTAATGCCGAAACGAAAACAGCTGTTGTGGGCGCATGCGCATTTTAAAATGGCCCTCATGATGGTCCGAGTTGGGATGTTTAAATCGAATTAGATACGGCAGAAATTCGACGTTTGAAGCAGTGCCGCTGTTCTGCCGTTAAAAGCGGCAAGACCAGCTGTCGAACTTTCGGCAGAAAACCGGCAGTTGTTTCAAACGTCCAATTTTTGCCGTGTCTAATTCAAATTTTGGGTCATTTGAAGCGGGCCTAAGATGCAGGCAGTAATTAGGCATTTTGGAATGTTTGCATTATTCGCCTGACTCGGTGGCGACCATCATTGAACACTTTGTAAGTGCCCAAGTTTGCATATGGTTCCATGTCAAATAGTAAAAGGTGGACAGAGTACCTGACGTGCAATACACGCGTTGAAGCAGAAGTCAATTAGTGATCAATATAATATTTTATATGGCATACATTGTTATGAAGTCGGAAATCCACACAACAGATAATAGAACGGGGAAATAACATTGGAATTATATGAGGATCGGAATCAAGGGATTTGCTCAAAAATAGAAGTAGAGTTATTTTAATTATTCAATATTGCCAATTAACACATAAACGAAATTAAATGAAATGGGTGCTCAAAGAATTATACGATGTTAAATTAAACAAATCACAAGTTGGCCATTGCAAGGGGAGGTACCTCCCTGAGTGGAATCCTGATGAGCCGCCAGAACCAAACCAAACGGGAGTTCGGAGGACGAATAACAGTGGGCGAGGTCAAGCACTCCACAGATGACTTGCAATGGAAGGCTGTGGTACCGGCGGAAAGAACATGGCAAAACGGAAGACCATAGTTAGCGGTGATGGAACCTGGTCTCGCCCTGGCGACACGGCAACGGAAAGACGAAAAGGAAGGCATAATGATGTCGCGTGCCCATGCAAGGAGAAAATATCCCTGCTTGTCCACCCCCAGCAAACGAGATATATATGCAACCATACGTATGAAGCCAAACCACGGTGGTTGTGTTTGTATTGCGTATTGCGCAATGTGTATTAGGCTTGCGTTGCAGCCGTTCATCGTTATATGAACAGTAAAAACACCATCAATTTGTGGGAATTGCGGTAGTCGAGCGGTTATGGCATACTGGATTGTGACGTATGGGGTGTGGGTTCGAATCCCGGGTCGAAGTTGTGGGCAGGGAGATCCTTTTTTTTTTAAAGGAAAATAAAGCCCGAATGTTTTAGGAGCCTAATTTCACACTTGAAGTTTTTATGGTTGGTGAGCATCTAGATGTCATGCATTGTGCATGGTTGTGAACCGTGGTTTGGCTTCATATGTGTGATTGCATATATAGCTCCAGCAAACTGAAAGCTAAGAATCCGCCAAGGGACGATATTGCAACACTTTTAAGGTCGGTAGGAAATTCCACAGTCCATTCCACTGGTCAAGAATGCGTCGGGTCGTGGCACTGGAGCAAATAACATTTACAGACCCATAGCAGTAAGCGAGGTACAGTATGCCAGTCGCAGAACGATTGGCCCACTTAATATTCATAACCTTCGCAAAACTTTATATTCTTAACAACATCAATTAAAAAATTGATCATTTCTGCAGTAATCATGAAGATATAAAAAATGTCCCTTTATCCTTACGCTCTCACAGATGTTGATTTGAGAAAACAAAAACAGTCACTGAGAAAATGAAAAGAGTCTTAAATGCTTCCGTCCTGACTGTTGAGTGTATACGAATTTCCTTCTCCCATTTTTGCTAAAATATAAAAGGTTTCATTTAAAAATTTCCAATTACCACAATACCAGACCAACTTAAACTGGCAGGAGCTATAAAAATGCAGTGTACACGATTTGTACAGTTTTTAAGCCCGTAGTGCTTCTGCCTATCTAAGTCTTGCCCCAAACCAAATGCCAGTGAACCCGGTCACATTTTGAAGGAGACGATGTACTTTTTGACATTCGAGGACAATGTCTATCATACACGGGGAAAATTTTGTGATAATCAGTGTAATAACAAGTCCACAGTATTCTATTGAAAAGATGGTGGCATCATTGGTCCTTGGATCCACTAGAGATTTAACTCTCATAGATGGCGCTAAGGACTGTAAGTTTGAAGGGATTGGAA